TAAACTCGTACGTAATCTTAAACTTCAGTCAACGCACAGAGAAAATCGTAACGTAACAAAAGCATACTACGTTACGATTTTGTTTGTGCGTTGACTGAAGTTTAAGATTACGTACGAGTTTAGGTTTAGAATCAGTACTTAACGTAACGTAATGCATTACGGAAAAGCTTGTGCGGTGGCCCTAAGCATCGTGTCTATAGATATACATACTTTTGTGTACACCATTGAACTCTATACATAGGCCGGTATTCATAGTCCGTTCTTATATTCAAGATCATCTTAAGTACGATCTTAAGATACTATGCGGCCATTTCATTGGTTGAAGAAATCGCCGGCATTGCCTCTCTCAGGCTTCTCTCTGTCAGTACTTAACGTAACGTAATGCATTACGGAAAAGCTTGTGCGGTGGCCCTTATGCGCTTATGCAAAAGTCTATGTTCGGGCCCTAAAGCCCGTATCAGACTATGCATTGAGATTGAAATTTGACCAATCAGGACAAGGAAATTTTAGTTTCTTTTATCTTGATTGGTCAAATTTCAATCTTCAATACGTAGTCTGATACGGGCTTAAAGGCCCTCACACACAAATTGACATAGCTGCATATGCATAGCATAAGACCATCTGGACCAATGAGCATGTTATGTTAATAAATATGGCGATTTTATTTCGATGCTCATTGGTCCAGACCATAGACATAGACATAGTATATTTAGACCGAGCGTTTGCCTTTATTTAAGGAGTGGGGGTAAAGATGCACGTAGAAAAGGACATACTACGTGCACCTCGACTCCCACTCCTCAACACTCGGTCTAGATATACTATGTCTATGGTCCAGACAGTCTTACGCTATGTATATGCAGCTATGCCAATTTATGTGTGATAGCTCCTGTAGATCTTGGAACAGGCGTGAAGTTAGCTACTAGCGGTCCATACTTATACAGGGTGTCTCACAACCTCCGTACAATACTTTATTAGCGTGTTCTAGAGGTAAAATAGAGTCAAAAATTCTAATACAAAAATTTTGAGGCTGCAATAGTTTTTGAGTTATAAGCGGTCAAAATTTGCCAATGATATCGCGTAAGACTCGCGCGCTCAGGCCCGTAATTACACTTACACGCGTACCGATCTGTCATCTGTTAATGATTTTTTCAAATCAGGTGATATTGATTTTTACTGCACAGCTGATTTTATTTCCTCGTTTTCTATGTATTACGCCGTGTGTATTACGCCTACATTGTACATTATAGCGATAGGCTAATATTAACAAATTATAAATCTTATCTTTCTAAAGGAATAAATGCAAGATTAAAACTAAATTACATTAAATAGGAACAGAGACAAAATAAAGACAAAAATGTATTACATTTAGTTTTTTATTCGGGTGTAAAAACCACTTTAAATCACTTTGCTCTTAAAGTCATATGAAACTATATAATCATACAGCCTTTAAATAAAAAAATACAATAAATAATCACAAATGCTTGATTAATGCTTCAATATTTTTTTATATAAGCACTACTATATTAGATTTTCATTAAGTCAGTCATGAAAGAAAACATCACAAAAGCTTGTATTATATATGATGCAAATTAACTAAAGACTAAAATAAAATATATTTATTGCTGTTTAAGTACCATACTATTCTCAGACTGGCACTATCAGTTATGTAACTAAAAGTCATAAAGTCTCATCATGAAAGTAATGCTACAACCTACAATTAAAACAAGTATTGAAAGACATTTCATATGCTAAGTTTAAGAGCATAAAAGAAATAAAAAGTAAGAACCGAACTCCACGATTAAGCTAGCAAGATAAACATAAAGTAACTTAGTTAACGAATAAATTTAGTTAACATAACAAATAAACAAATAAACTAAAAACATTAATAAAACATATTTGGTATTGCTTAATGAGATACTATTTCCACATTGGGAAAATATCAGACATATGTAACAAAAATTCATAAGTCTTGTGATAAAAATTAGATGTTGTACGTATAACAAATCATGAGAGGCTTTCACTACGCTGCTTAATTCTGCCAAGAATAATTAAAACTATACAAACAAAGCTAACATCAGTAACTCTCCAATCAAAATACAAGTAATGAAAAACGATAATAATATATTTTAGGTATCAGAATTATGTGACTCATTAACTTCCCTTCCATTAGCAGTTTGGAACCAACGTTTGATCTTGGCTTCAGCGTCAGTAAGGAAGCTATTAGGAAATCGTAGTTTAACTGTACCTGTACACAAAGGCAATTACAATAAAATGATATTATCAACAGAAAAAACACACTGATATATATTTCGTAAATACCATAGGGTACTAAAGAAATAACTTAATGCAAGTAGAATTAAAATTATGGGATTTATGTGATGAATTAAAAAAAAATGAGATCACTTACCAAATACAACCTCACATAGTTTTGTATCAGAAAACTTTATCTTATCGCCTTCTGACCCACTCCAACTTATCAGTTTGGCAAGATTATTTGAGATCAACTTGGATAAAATGTTCCCTGTGACACTGCGTTCTGAGGGAATAGATGATGTGCCAAAAGCACTGGCACATTCAGAATGAAGTAGATCTCGCTGTTAAGGCACGAAAAGCGAGATCATGATTGCTTAGTAAATTTTTAATATGCATTATACATACTCATTAACCTCACATGGGACATACCATAGCTTCATAATTAATACGATTAGCTGCTAAAAACATTTCCATCTTTTGAAAGTCCTTCTTTGTCTTCAGTGAAATAGGTGGAAAATTACAAGGTATTATGGATTTAGCATGATCTGGGTTGACAGACCGAACAATAATTACCTGATTAATCAACACTAAATCCAACTTTTTGCTAATTTCCAGAAGTATTGTGCTGCTCAGCTTAATTTCACTGTCACAATGTTTGCATTCAAAATCACCTAATAAATTATAAACATATCTATTGAGAACTTGCAAAGAATGTCAAAGCCATAATTACTTGAATCGTAAAAACATGTAAATATCTTTATCTTTACAAAAATAACGAGGCTCCTCTTGTAACTTTGTTTCTTCCTCACCTACTTTGTCAAAAATTGAATGAGTTTTATTTTGATCAGCCACTGAATTCGGTGATGAAAAACGTCCTTCAAAACTTGCACTAGAAGTGATAGTCTGTACCAACGAATGTGACGAATTTTGAGACGAACATGAAGATTCCTTATCAGGATTGTTCATTGAGAGTGGAAATGAAAATTGAGTGTCTTGAGGAGCATTTTCACTTGATATAAAATCAGGTGTAGATATTAAAGAGTTAAGAAGGGAAGTATTAAGAACCTCAGAGATTTTGCTTCTTGTTATTTTGTTCTCGATAGAAGAAAGAATTGAAGAAACCTCACTATTCAAAAATGTTGTTGCATAGTTTTTGCTTGGCACTGTTACTGACACAACACTTCTTCCGCTTAGTATAATCTATTTTCCGCCATTTCTCGTTCCTCTTGCAGATAATACTTTGAGATTGGCTATCACGAACCTTTTGCCAGTTGTCTTTGCTTTCGCTCTTTGCCTTGGCTGGAATTGTCTTCGAACTTCTGAAGGAGTCTGAACTCGATATTTTTCTCGAGAGGTTGTCTTCTGGGCATTTTCTCCCTCTCTTTATCTTGTACTTGATGCACATGGATACTATTTTCTTTAACTGCATTCAAAACATCAGAGTTCACCTGAGGCAAAGTTTTGCTGCCGCTCTCATCATCACTTTCGCTAAGTTTTCTAACTTTCCTTTTGCGAGGACCTTTTTCTTTTCGAGATAGCATATTGTTTTCCTTATTTTCATTGTCATCATCAGAGTCTATATATCGGCTTGGTAGCTTCCTCCTTCGTGGAGCGTCATCTGCCTCCGTTTCAAGTGATGTGTCATCCTCAGCTCTTTTCAAACCTTTAACTGCATCATCATACTTACCTGCAATAACAAATGTAAGAGCATAACAGTTCCAATAGATTTCCAACTATATAACCTTATTAAAGAACAGTTATTTAGTTGCAACAGAAATTTTAAAAAATTCTATTCGAACTTAAAGCATCAGCTTAAACTTGCAATCATCACAGGAAAGAAATACAATAAAACTGAACATTTCATATTTACTGCATAAAACTTTATTCAATGAAGAATGGATAAAAAGAAATTGACATATCATATTTAACTCACGATATAAGTGAAGAACTGATCCTTTATGAAGAGGCCAATGAATGTCAGGCTCAATACAACTTTTTACAGCTTTCTTTAAGTGTACAAGTCTCGATCCTTTTTCAGGCTAGTTTTTTAAAGGCCAGAATATATCAGTAATCTCATCATCAGGCTTGTCAATCCATTTAACAGGAACTACTGCGATTGTTTCTGCTTCTTCCTCTTGTTCCTTTCCCGTGAAGGCCACCACAGCATACTGGAAAAAAACAACAACACATTATATAACTAAAGAAGAACACAATTAAAAACCTAAAATCATATATACTCAAACACAATGGACAAATGTCAAAGTACTATGATGCTCAACAAAGCAATAATACGTTACACAGAGATAGTATAAGTGCATATAGAAACAACTTTTACTTGGCACCAAATATTTACTATTTTAAAGAAACATTTGAGTTGCAGTAATACTCTTGAATCTATGCTTGATATAACTAAAGTTCTTCTTACTTCATAAACTGATCTTTAAGAAAAGGAAGTTATACATACTCATCCAAGACAGTCAAACAAATTACATAAACAATGTTGACAATGCACTTTTACAAAAACATAAATACTCATTCACAAATGTACATATGTATATACAGGGTTTGTCAAAAGTGTGGAAACCCCTAAATAATTTTTGTAAAAATGAAAATATCAAAAAACGGTAAAACACGTATTTTGATTTATCAAAAAAGCTACCCTATGACATGGATACCGATCATCCCCCACCCCCTGGTACGCAGGGGTAAGAGGGGGGTTGAAAATTTTAAATTGGATTAAGGGTCAAGTGGGGACTCGTTTGAAAGGTCTTTTCATAACAAACACACCCTTAAAATGGGTGCTTTCTACCCCTAAAAATCGTGTTTAGCCGAAACAAAAAAAACACGTATTTAATGTTTTTCGGTGTTTAACAAGTATGTTGAGTTTCATTCAAATCGGTGAGTATCAGTTGGGTAGTGTTACTTGTTAGTGTTATCCAGGATCAACTGCGTGGAAGTGGCATGAATTTGATCCCTTGTGTGTGTGTGTGTGTGTGTGTGTATGTGTGTGTATGGGCGCGTGTGGCTAAACAAGTGTGAATGTGTACATAGTGGTGATAGGTTGCAGAACAGACGATTGAAAACTGTTATCTCTCTTTAATGATTCAAAACCTTTTACTCCGTGTTTTAAAATAAATTTTACTCAGTGTGTTAAAGTAAATGCTGAAAGTGGCTGCCATTTACTTCCTGACAATATGCCAATCTTTAATAGAATGCAGAAATGGCTCTATGATTCGTCTCAAAATATATCAAATCTATTTCATCCCTTATTCGCTGTATCAATTCTTGGATGCTTTCAGGTTTTGTTTTGTAAACCTTACTCTTCAGGTATCCCCATAGATAATAATCAAGAGGAGTTAGATCTGGTGACCGAAGTGGCCAATCCTCTCCTCCCTCATTTCTGTTCCTTCTTCCTATCCATCGTAATGGAAAAGTCTCATTTGACGTGGCCGTAAACCAAAATGAGCAGGAGCTCCATCATGCTGAAACCATATTTCTTCAAAATTATTTGGAAAAATATTTCGTATGGCTGGAATTATTTGATCTACAAGTAATCTCTCATATCTTTGATCGTTCAGATTTTCTTCAAAAAAACGCCCCTATTAAGTAGCCGTCTATTATTCCACACCATACATTAATTTTTTGTGGATATTGTGTGAGTTTCCCGCAGCCAAATCGGATTTTCATCTGACCAGAAACGAAAATTTTGATTATTAACTTCTCCCGTTAACGTGAAAGTTGTCTCGTCTGTAAAAACAATTTGATAAAGGAAGATGGGCCGGACATCTATTAGTGCCATCATTCTGTCACAAAAACCTATACGACGCTCCAGATCTCCGTCTTGCAATTCTTGAACATATTGTAATTTGTATAGATAGAACTTGTTTTTCTTTAAAATTCTCCAAACGGGCTTGGGAGCAATATCGTGAATTTGAGCGGCTCTGTTAATAGTAGAATTGGGATCTTAGGTGTATTCAGCAAAGTTACATATGTCTTAGGGAGCTCTTGATGCACTTTGCGTAAAAGACTCAACAAACTGTTTACTTTTCTTTTTGAGATACCATGAGAAGCCCATTCTGTCAGGGCCATACGTAAGTAGACACCTTCATCAAACTCATCTGTTTCACTATCAGTTATATCCTCCATAGAATCCCATGTATTTTCTATTGACCAATCTGTATTATTGTCATCACCTGAAATATCCTCAGATTGACTGTCATTTTTCATCTCCTCTTGTTCAAATTGTTCTTGTCTCTGCATATCAACATCCGCATCTGATTCTTCCAAATTTAGAACCTCTTCTTCAGATACACTTGAATGATGAGATGCGTCAGATTCACTTGATCCTTCATATTGTGTTTCATGCAATTGCAATCTCAATCTACTGTCGTAACTTGAAATTGAATAACGTAATTACGACCTACAAAAGTAAAAAGGAGCACAGCGCAAATTCAGCACTTCGTAAGCTGTTGCGCGCGCTCCCAAACCCGCGATTAAATGCAATGTATGCAATTCGTTGCAACATGCAATTAAGACATCGTGACCTAGTACCAAAAAGTCACCTACTTTCGGACAATAAGAGGAGAGATAACGAGTACCTCGAGGCCGTATTCCGAAACTAAATGGTGACGCGTATACTTGAAGAAACTGTGAGATTCTGCAAGCGCCGATATTGTTACGTCGCCGAAGCATCACCAACCCAAACTCTACGATACGTAAGCTGTACAAATAAATCTTTTTGCACGGAATTTTTGTCTCGTGTTTCTCGACACTCGGAGTCCCAACTCCTAAGACGAGCCGAACCCTTGGATCATCCTCAAAATTCCCGTTGAGGCACAACAAAATTGGTGGCAGCGGTGGGATTGGTCTAGCTAAAGGAATAAAAAAGAATATAGTGGGATACGCCCAACTATTTCGAGACACAATCGGTAACAAAAATCGATTGATAAATTGAGCAAATCAGCACCAAGTGCGAGCAAAAGAAAAAATCGTCAGTGCCTGAAAGACCCGGAAGAAGAACTGTGACAAGAAGCTGAAGCGCAAAGGAAGGAGCAATCCAACGCAACGCCCAGCAACTAGCCGATCGTAGCAAACCGAGGACGCCGCCCGTGCAACGGAAAACTCACCGACGCTGACCTACAACAACGTGCACCGCCGAGCGATCCAACCACAACAGCTGACCGTGCAGAAGCAATGAGTAAGCGAAAGAAGAATGCGTATCATCGTTATACTGTAAGTAAAAAAAAAACTGTACAATAAAATAGCGTGAATGTCAGCACAACCGAAAAGAGTTACGTTCCACCGACCGCGATTTTTAAGCGTACCAGCGCGACTAGCAAATAGATTCGGCTTTGTAACCCCCGTACAAGTAATCGAAGGAGCGACCCGCGACATTCGCGATAACGTACGGAGAAATTTAGATAACCATTATTCAGGCGAGAATTCACCCCAGTTAGGATCTCGCGAACTAGAAATAAATCAAGTAGCGGAAAATACACTCCCGCCTAACAATAATAATAACATAATAGAAGTAGACGGACCTGATATAAATCGTACATCCGTCGAACGCGTTGCCGTTAGGAGAAATTACTCTCCCGTATCATACGACAGTAGCATCTTCGAAGTAAATAACGAAGAAAACATGCAATGTAATCCATTACCGTCAACTGTCTCCCCCGAAGACGTTGATAGGGAAATAGAACGCCTGCGAGCACAGGCCGGACATAACGCCGCCGCGGACTATGAAGACGCCGGACGTCCACTCGAAGATCCGAGCAATGCACTGATAATCGAAATCGTGCAAACCGTTCGAGAAATGCGAGAAGAAATAAGCCCAGCAACTAGCCGATCGTAGCAAACCGAGGACGCCGCCCGTGCAACGGAAAACTCACCGACGCTGACCTACAGCAACGTGCACTGCCGAGCGATCCAGCCACAACCGCTGATCGTGCAGAAGCAACGAGTAAGCGAAAGAAGAATGCGTATAATCGTTATACTGTAAGTCAAAAATACAATAAAATAGCGTGAATGTCGGCACAACCGAAAAGAGTTGCGTTCCACCGACCGCGATTTTTAAGCGTACCAGCACGACTAGCAAATAGATTCGGTTTAGTAACTCCCGTACAAGTAATCGAAGGAGCGGCCCGCGACATTCGCGATAACGTACGGAGAAATTTAGATAACCATTTTTCAGGCGAAAATTCACCCGAATTAGGATCTCGCGAGCTAGAAATAAATCAAGCAGCGGAAAACACACTCCCTCCTAATAATAATAATAACATAATAGAAGTAGACGGACTTGATGTAAATCGTACATCCGTCGAACGTGTTGCCGTTAGGAGAAATTACTCTCCCGTATCATACGATAGTAGCATCTTCGAAGCAAATAACGAAGAAAACATGCAACGTAATCCATTACCGTCAACTGTCTCCGCACCGAAAACGTTGATAGAGAAATAGATCGCCTGCAAGCACAGGCCGGACATAACGCCGCCGCGGACTATGAAGACGCCGGACGTCCACTCGTTCGAGAAATGCGAGAAGAAATAAGAGGATTACACGAGCAAATGCACGATCTACGTGTAAATCGGGATTTAAATAGAACGCGAACGATACCGAATGACACTAACCTTGATGTCACATACGGACGAACACTTAACGATGTTCGAAATCAATCGGCACTTTTAAACGGTCATTTACGATTAAAAGAAGCAAGATATGATTCCGGAATTCGACGGAAATTTACAAGCTAAACTTAAAGAATTTTTAAGCGTATGTTCATACGCGATAAAAAATATTAATCCCACAGATGAAAGAACACTATTAGAAGCAATACTTTGCACGAAGCTAAAGGGAAAAGCTATGGTAGACTTTGAAACGCGAAATATAAACAGTTTCGGACAGTTTAAAAGAGAACTCGAAATCTGCTATTTAAGCAAGAAGAGCATTACTCACTTGCAAATTGAATTTAACTCCTTAAAACAAAAAGCCGGCGAGAACGCCAGAGCATACGGGCTTCGCGCCGACAATTTGGCCATGGAATTATATGAATCCATGATCGAAGGCCAAGATTACGGCAGCGAACGAAAACGCATTATACTTGAAACTATACAACAGCAAGGTCTGCAAAATTTCCAGATAGGTCTCCACAACGATATCAAATT